GCGCACGAGCAGCTCCGTTTCCTCTCTGGAGACCTCTCTTTGCGCTTGCAAATTCCACAGTGTAAATAGCGAATCCGCCATAACGCGAGCGCAACTGGCTCTTAACGGGAATGGGAGATGAGACTTGATTGGTTTATTGCACGTTATGCCCAAAACACACCCATTACTCATTAAGAGAATAGGGACAACCCTTTTAGACCATGCACCGGGCGCGCCGACTGTTTTTCCCATCATTAAATTAGCAAAAGTGGATTAGGACATGCCCTAAGTGCACCTGCGCCTTGCGCTTCAGACCATGCGCTTAGATCGTTAAAATAGGGCCCTTTATGTTTAAGCATATAATGATATTCTAGGGAATTGCGTGCTTCTAATTTTATAGCAACAGTTTTGACTGGACCCTTTTCTATTCTAACATGACAATGCCTATGTGTATAAGGCAAGGTTCAAAAAGAAATGATTGATTTAACTGTAAATTAGCATGATAATTTGTTTTGTCATATGCCATAGCTATGCATGACTACTCACTAGACAAATGCAGCCAAAATAAATACATCTCAATTTTCAGTCAAGTAATGAATTAATGCACAAGTTAATGAAACAATTATATTTTATTTACTGACAACAGGAAATATGAATAAATGAGTAAAAGAATAAATAAAAGTAACCATGAAAAGATTACAAAAAAGAAAACACAGGAAACAAAGCTTTATTCAAACATATTGTTCTAACAAACATGTATTTACAGGCAGTGAAGCCACATCCTACTGCCATCTCAACACAGCTGTTCCAGTTCTGCAGCTTTATTCTGATGAAGCAGCTGACCACCGTGTTTCTTTGCCGTCCATCACGACCCTCATTGCTGCAGTCAGACTGAATCTGATCATGGATGGGAAAGGGACATTGAGGCTGTCCTTGGCTGAGTGCATGGAGAGGATGAGGAAGACCATGATGACGCCCCTGAACCACACAATCTTGAACAAGAGCAGGAGAACATGTGTAGGACAATCTGACTGCTGCCGTGTCTGCTCCAAAAATTTGTGCGCCTACTCTCCATGAGCACGACTACCTGAAAAACATTTACACAGAGTAAAACGTTTTACAATTCATGTTGTCAGCATTTCATTTCATATGTTTACAATTACATGCTAATATTTGTCATAGCTTCATTACTAGTGAGCTAAACCACTGAACTGGTAAGCAGAAGGTTGCTGGTTCGATCTCCGCAGTCGTCACCACCGGTGTGTCCTTCAGCAAGGCTCTTTACTCCAGGTGGCTGCTGGGGGATTGGGGTCCCTGTAATAAGAGCACTGTAAGTCACTTCGGATAAAAGTGTCTGACAAATGAATAAATGTAAATGTGATTTTTGTATATCCTTTTTTGTGTCTTGAGCACAAACACTCAATAAAGCTGCTTATTTCTCAAAGTTTATTTCTTCAAGGTACTACTATAATATAAATGCATGCATATATTTCATACAGTTTCTATTTGGGGG